GGGCCCGGGCCCCCCCCAGCCGGTACCCGCGGGCGCAGCTCAGCTCGCAGCGTGTCCCCAGGCTGCTGCGGTAGGAGCCCCCCCGGGGCGAGTAGCAGGTGGCCTCTCCCCGGTGGATGTTGAGCGTGGCACACCACTGGGGTACTGGGGGAGAGAAGGAAGGTGAGGGGGCACCTGGCCCTGCCATGCCTTGGTTTTCCCACAAGGACCTGAGGGATGGCTCGGGTGCCATTACCTCGGTGGTAGTCCAGGGCAGGCTCCGGGGGGGCTTCTTCCATGTACACTTCATTGGTGTGGCTCTCAGCGGTGTAGTAGCCGGACCCTGGGGAGGAGGGGAGAGACAAGGGGGTTGTGTGATGGTTTGTGGCCGCAGCAGCACCCAGGCGACAATGCCTCCCCAGGCAGCTGCACCCTCCAGCACCGAAAAATCCCACAACTCCCAGCAAGCGATTCCATCCCCGGGCAGGCTCTGTCCTGCCATCCTTGGGGCTGCTGTCAAGGGTTAAGCCGGGCAGACAGCAAGTCCAGTCCCCAGCAACATGGTGTGTGCTGGCACCAGCCCGCAGACTAAACAGTGTCAGGAGCAGCCGCGGTTATGGCAGGAAACAGGAGCTGGCGCAGTGGGCTGGCACTGACCCCCGGCTTCGCACTGCCGGGAAGTTCTTCCACCAGCTCCCATGGCACCATCCCTGCCACCGAGCGTCCCAAGGGACGGAAGAAAGCTGCCCTCTCCTGCCCATCCCAGCGGAGCCCCTGGCCAAGGCAAGGAGATGCACGCCGCCCGGCCAGGGGGCTGGTGGGGGTGCAGCCCCTCGTTTGCACGCCAGGGAGGGATGAAGCTGCTGGAGGGACGGTGCTGGAGGGGCTTGGCCGGAGCTGCTGGCCCCCTGCCATCCATGCTGTGCAGAGGGGCCCCTGGCCCCATGGTCGGGGGAAGGACAGCCTTGTGCCACCCTTGTGGGCCACCCTCTGGCCCGCACCGTGTCCCCGTGGGCAAGGGACCAGCAGGCAGGGAGGGAGCCGTGCAGGGGGAGAGGGCTGGCGCCCTTCCCCGTGGCCCCTCGGCGCCTCGGCCGGCCACGGCATTCCCCAGCACTGAGCTCACGTTTCCGCCGTGTTTCCGCCGGCCCCGCCAGCGCTGCCCCCTCCTCGCCGCCAGCCCACCCCACCGCAGTCCCTGCTCCGGCATGGCGGGGATGCTCAGCCCAGGAAGGGACCCTGGGCGAAGCGGCAGCCCTGCGCAGCTGTACCCATCTCCCCTTGCCCCTGCTCCGGGTTTTGGGAAGGGGATATCCGCCGAGGCCAATCCAAGCAGCAGCCCCGCCGTCACGGGGAGGAAACTCCATTACAAATCTTTCCGACATGAACTTTACTACAGAGCAACTCCCCACCGCTTCCCACAAGCTCCGTTAAGTCGCCCACTCCTTTCCACAAAGCCTTTTATCCCAATGCCCTTCCCATGCTGCCACGGCTGCCTTAGGGAGCGGAAGGGCCCCAGGCGAGCGCAGGGCTGGCATCTGTGGGGCCGGTGGTGGGGATGTGTTGGTGACCCGGCGAGCAGGGCTGCTTCCCAGGGGAGCTGCCGAGCCCCCCGCCGGGGCCCCGGGGTCGGGGTGTGCTGTATCCCCGCAGGCAGATGTGCCATTAAATTGCGATGTTCCCTTTTTGTGCAGGCGCTGCCTTTTCCTTCTCACCTGGGGCCAGCTCGCAGCCCCAGCTGCACCGGGCAGGAGCATCCCCAGCCAGCCATGCTGGCAGCGTGGCAAGGGGATGGGGACGGGAGCAGGGAAGGAGGAAACCCCCCCAAACAGGGCAAGAGCTTTTGATCCTTGACCCAGCTGCCTGGCTGCAGCAGGGGTTGGATCTGAGCGCTCTGTCCCGGCAAACATCTGCCGGCTGATGGCCCCCGCGGGAGCAGGGAGTCAGCGGGAAAGCTGCGATCCTGCAGGCAGGGGCGTGATGGAGAGGCTGGTTTTCTGCTCCTCTCTGGATGCCTCCCAGCACCCTGTACCCTGCAGCACACCCCCGCAGGCCCCCCATACCCCGCAGGCCCCGATGCTCTCCCCGGCATTGCCGTACCAGGGCACCTCTCCCTCCCTCCCCACCGCGAGCCCCCTGAGGGGAGCGGGACCCTGCCGGCTGCCGTCCCCGGGGAGCCCCGCTGCGCCCGCACGCCCCGGCTCTCACCTTCGTGCCACGTGGATGACACCAGCTTGGCGAGGACAACCAGCAGCACGGGGGCTGCCTCCTGTGCCATGCCGGGGGGCCAGGGGCCGGCCAGCCCGCCTCCCGTGCTGGGTCCGGGGGCAGCCGCGAGCCCCGATGAGGATGGAGAGGGGCTGGAAACAGGACGGCGGCCCCCTCCGTCGCCTTGTCACTGCACAGACGCCTGACCCTCCTGCCCGTCCTTGCTGCCTGTGCTGAGCAAACCTACTTTTCCCTCCTGCTGCCCGTCCCAAACATTCAAAAGCCGTGAGTCAGGCCCAAAATGATGAGATTGTCAAAAATAATAAATCCCAGGATCGCCCGTTTTCCAATGCACCTCCTGCTTCTCCGAGGCTTTAAAAGGTTGTCAGATTTTTCTCTTCGCAAGCAGAAGAGCCAGGAGTCTATTTTGACAGAGGAGGGAGCGTAGCTGAGCCTGTGCCAGCCCTGCCGGGCTCTGCGAACGGGGCTCCTGAGGGACTGAGGACAAAACCACAGGAGCCAGGACCCTGCCAGGAGGGAGGGAGAGACCTCGCTGCAGACAGCAGGCTCCAAAACGGGTCTGGAGGCAAGTGATTCCAGCTGGGGTCTGTTTTCCAGCTGAAGTTCAGCCCCCGCGAGGCAGAGGTAATGAAGCGCGTTCGTTAGGACCCGCCGCCCCGCGTCCCACGGGGTCGGGTGGGAGGCGAGGCAGAAGCCCGAGCCACCCGGGGATTTTGGCTCTGGAGCACGGAACCGCATGGGTGAGGGGAGACGAGGGACGAGCCTGGCATGGACAGGTAGGAGAGCTGGCACGGGGCGGAGGGGGAGGACAGGCTGCCTGAATGCACTAATTATGTGGTGGCCAGGCCGGTAAGCGCGCTAATTAATAACACAGCTGTCCTGAGCAGGAGAGGGCTGCCAGGAGGCCGCTGTGCGGGGCTGCCTGCTGCAGGGTGTGGGGAGCCCGCAGCCCCCCGCAGCCCGGGGCCATCCCCGAGGAGGGGACGGGGTGCTCAGCCCACGGTGGGCAGGAAGGCTGTCGCTTGCCAGCATGGTGGCCGTGCCGTGTGCTGGGGCGCAGGGTGGCTGCCCCGGCTGGTCCCTGCTCTGCTGGGGGACACCTGGGCAGGCACCGGGGGGGCACGCTGGGGCTGGGGCTGCGTTGCCAGCTGCTGGGGCCGGAGGGCAGGGACTGGGTGGCACGGTGCGGTCAAGAGGTGGCACAGTACAGGCAGGGGGTGGCACAGTGAAGGCAGGAGGTGTCGCGGTGCGGGCAGGAGGTGTCACGGTGCAGGCAGGCGGCACGGTGCGGGCAGGGGGTCGCACGGTGCGGGCAGCGGGCGGCACGGTGCGGGCAGCGGGCGCCCCCCCTGGGGAGGATCGGGGCGCCTTCGGGCGCTCTCGTCCATTTCCGTG